CAGCAGGATCAGAATGTGCAAGTTAAATGCTGGGAAGGAAGGGGGAGCAAAGACACCTCTCTCTTCCGTACTTTGATAGTACTGAAAGGCATGAGTGCATTTGCCCAGAGTGTTGAGTGGGTGCCTGGGCCCGGATCCAGCAGGGATCCTGTGTTGCTGGTCTTGTGCAGGGAACATGGTGAGCTCCAAGGAGCCAGAGGCTCTGGGCTTCAGTGCTGACCCTGCAAAAGGAGCATTTGTTTGGGGTTTCCCATACACAGCTTTAGCCTTGGGTGACTCTGAACATACTGGGTTGCCTTGCAGGTCCCTGAACGTTGATATGGAGTGGCTGTATGGGGCGAGTGAAAGCAGCAACATGGAAGTAGATATCGGTTACCTGCCTCAGGTCTGTAGTCACTCTCAGTCCTCCGTATGTGTGCAGCATCTCAGCAGGGATTTATGCTGCCATGGCCCTGAACTGTATAACCTCAGTTATCCCTCTTCTTTAGAGCTTTCTCTTGAACATTTCAATATAACAATATAATCTCTGTTGATCTGTGTAAGTCCTTTGCAGCTATGTGGGTCCCTATTGCCAGTTCTTGTGATATTTTATTTTTTCCCTCTCTGTGGGTTGAATCCTAAGCTCCTGGAGGCACATGACTCTTTCCATTTTTAAAAAGAAGTCTGACAGGCAGGGGGGAGGATCAGGAGCTGAACTCAGGCGCTGAACCCGCAGGGGTGTATGAACAAAAGTGTGTCTGAATTTAGAAACTGCATGAGGTTATTCCTCTATTTTGTGGTAATCCCAGCTCTTGGGACAGGAAACATAAGTCAGGATTTTGAATACCTGAATGTAACAGTCCCATTTTCTCCTAAACTAGATCCATGTTTCTTTTTAATTGCCAAAAGTCAGGAAAACAGACTTACACAATAATTTCAGATGTACCAAAAAGCTGAACGACAGGGAAGCGCCTGAAGAGCTTTCCCTGTTGCACCCTCTTGTGGGTAGCCACGGGCTGTGTGAGGGCTGGTGCTGATGGTAGGAGCAAGAGCTTCGAACTAGCCCTGCAGGTCCCCGTGATTTTAAGGATCTGGTGTCCCACAGTCAAAAATCTCCACTGGGAAGGTGGAAACACGGAGTGAGGAAGTCTCATGCGTTCCTAATCTAGCAAGCACAGTCAGACAATAATTGAAGGTAATGAAGTTGCTTTCCTGCTATTCCCCAATAAAACACATCTGCAACTGGTAAAGCGCAGCTCCAGGAGACAATAGGTCAAGCTATATCTTCATTAGAAGCTGCACAGTCTTATTTTGCATCTCTGTCCAGTCCTGGAGTACAGAAAAACCAGGAGTGAGATGTCTGCAATGTCCAACTCAGCTTGTTCTCCTGCAGATGGAGCTGGAGTCGGCAGGGCCTTCAGTCCCCTCTGTGATCCATGACGAGAACGGAAATGTGATTGACAGCAGGGATCCCTCAGGGGAGCCCATTCAGTTCGTGTTCGAAGAGATAACCTGGCAGCAGGAAATCCCTTGGGAAGAGGCAGCCCAGAAGCTGGAAGTGGCCATGTATCCATTTAAGAAGGTGAGAAAGGGGCCAGGCTCTTCCTTGGCGTGTTTATTTAAGTCAGGTTCATCTTCACTGAGACATCCAGACACCTTGATGACCAGCAGAAACCAGGGGCCACAACCTGATCAGCATTCAGAGTAGTGTGAGGGTCTCCCAACTCAGCACGTGCCTCCCAGGTGCTGCGTGTGTGGCTTGATGGACTTCCAGTTTCCAGATGAGGGAGTACAGCATCTCTGAAAGGCCATTTGGGGTCAGTCACACAGCAGCATAGGCAGGAGCAAAGCCTGGAAGTCCTGTGTCCCAGGCTTGTATTGTAAACATAGGCTCATCCTTCCTTCCTCTTATCAGTAGCTGCCGACGCGATTTCTGAGTGAGGCAGGTAATCGCGCTGCTTACAAATGGTTTTCCTCTGGCATTACTTTCGCACCATTCAGCTGCCTTTGGACCAAGCTTTCCTTATCAGCGGGAAACACACAATCTGCCTGTGCCTCTATATCCCGCATTGAGACGCAAATTTATAGCACTGGGTGACCCAAACTATTTAACATGCCAGTAGCCTGTGGAGCAGATGGCTACTGCCTGTCACTGCTTCCTTTGGCTGAAGGGATACGTTTCAATGGCTGCCTTCTTGTGCCTGAGCTTACAAATCTCTCTTTGAGCTGCCAAGATGTTAATAAAGTTCCCTTAATTTGAGCAATTGGAACAATCTCTGTGCAGGGTCCCTCACAGACAGTTTTTAGGCTGTTTCAGTGAGGTTTTGTAATAAATATCTCAAGGCCAGATTTCCCAGGCTGCTGAGGTGCGTTTGCAGACAGCCTGCCCGCAGTTGTGCAGATGCTCTCTGCAGTATGTAAAGATGGGGCTCTGCAGGTGCCAGTAACAGCCCGTGTGCCGTGAGGGGCTCGTTACAGTCTCACTGTGAGATGAAGTTGTCCCTGGAGAGACCACTACAGTTGTCATTTGTGTTAATCTGCAGGACTTACTGCAGATTAAACTCTGTCTGTGTCACCTGTGGGATGTGGCAGGTCTGGTTCCTTCAGACCCTGCTTGTTTTTGAGACGGGCTGTTCTGTGTCTATTTCTGAAGCTGTCTCTCTGTCTCCAGGTCTCCTATCTTCCCTTCACACAAGCTTTTGAGAGAGCGAAAGCAGAAAAGAAGCTGGTGCACTCGATCCTGCTGTGGGGTGCCCTGGATGACCAGTCCTGCTGAGGTGAGGACATTCCCAGCGTGGCTGGAGGAATGATGAGCCTTGTTCAGGCTCTGACAAGAGCTGGGGGTCAGGGAGCTGGTCACAAGCCAGCGGTAAATGTTGTGTTACTTGTTTTGGCACTGAAGATGCTGAATAGAAAAAGGCTGGAAGTGGGGAATTACTGATCAGAGCTTAAGTCCCCAGTGGCAGGATCAGATCTATTTGAGACAAGCCTTAGACCAGCTCGCCAATTCAAGTGCCTTTGTAGAGGTGGAGGTATGAGTCTGGTCTTTCTCCTTTCTCTTCCCCTCTTGGTCTGCTTGGGTAGAGGCAGCATCTGCACAGTGAAAGGGACACTGCTCTCTGCTCTGTCCCTGACACCTGCACAGGAGAAGCCAGAGCCAGATGTGGGCTTGGGGTTATCCTGATGTGTAGCTGTTTCCCACACACACAGGCCTAAGAACTTGCATGCCACAGTGGGCAGGAGTGATGGGTGGGAGAGTCCTGTCTGCCCTTAAAAGCTCTCTGGTGTGTATGGGCTGTGCTCAGCATGAACAGCAAGAGGCACTCAGGGTGGGTCTGCAGGGCCTGATCCTTTCCTAAATGCACCACACCAGTCAGCCTCCATGGCAAGCTTGTCCTCCTCTTTCCATTGCCTTGGAAGTGGCTGGAGTCTGCTCTGGTGACTCTTCTCTGCCAGCAGCACACACAGGAGACAATAAGCTGTGGAAAACTGCCAACAAAGGAGAAAAAAGACAATGGGCTGGGCTGGGGGGAGCCCAAGCCAGCTGCTGCAGCAGCCAGAGCAGTGGCATTGCGGTGGCATCAAACATGGCAACAGTCAGCTCAGGACACACAGGAAACCACTGTCGGCCTCTCTTCCTATGCCAGGTTCAGGGCGAACTCTCCGGGAGACCGTCCTGGAAAGTTCGCCCATCCTCACCCTGCTGCACGCGATTTTTTTTGTGAAGGAGCTGGAAGAGCTGCAGGTGAGTGTCGCAGCCACATCTGCCGCCTTTGGATTCAGTGCTTGTGAATGCAGACGGTGCTTGGCACAGGGGTGCTGGCAGGAGAGGGGAGCTCACACCTGTGCTAGTGGGGGATTTCGGTTCCAAGCCCTCCGTGTCCTAGTGATGGCAGGGGCCAAGCAACACCAGATGGAGGCAGGCTAAGAAAACAGCACAATGACCCCCTTTGCTCTGTCACGGTGCCAATTTCAAAAGCTAAACCAGATGTTTCACTGCAAGATAGCCCTGCCCAAGGCCATTTGTGCCATCAACAAACTGACTTCTCTGTAACCCGGGAAGCAACGAATTACTGACTGAACCCCAAGTCTCCCAATTGCACCTTTCCCCACTTACGAGCCTGTCTCTAGGCTGATGCTGTCAGCTGGGGACAGTGACAGAGCTGGAGACTCTGGGAAAAGCTGGGATCAGACTGTTGATGTGCCTGGGAACTGCCAGCAATGGGGTGGTTTTATGGTTTGGGGAGGAAATCTACAGCTGAAATGTGAGAGGGAGGCTGACTGAAGGGGAACAGTAAAGCAGGTCGTGGGAACCAGTAACCACCGTGCTGCAAAGCAGCTCTTCAGTCCCCCCCTCCTGTGTTCAGTGTACTCCTCCTGCGCCATGCTGCTAGTTTTGGTGTGTGCAGTTGTGTTTCTTTGGGGTCTCCTTACAGACCAACAGAGAGAATGAGTTCTACAGCAAGCTGGCTGACCTGCACCTGGAGAAATACAATTTCCCCGTGGAGATGATCATCTGCCTCCCCAACGGCACGGTGGTACGTTCGTTACCCCTTCAGCTGGGCTCGGCTCTTCCCATTAGAACGTGTTGTCTTCAGGGTCATCTGCAGATCCTGAAGCGAGTGCGTGCTCCCCCAGCCATTCCCTGGCTCCTTGAGCCTTTGTGGGGCTGTAGTCCGTCACGATGCTGTGCTCTCAGGGATGCTGTGGCAGACAGACAGCAGCTCTACCAAGAAATCTGAAACAAACGTCTTTTTATTCAGCGACAGAACAACAGCAGCTCTGGGCAGGGGGGGAAACAATCAGACTTGAAGCAAATGTCTGCCTGTGATTCCTTATTGTCCCTGATTGGAGTCACTGACCTTTGGGAAGCCATTGTAGCTTGTTTCCTGCACCCATTGTTCTTTGTGCTCATGCTTTGGAGAAAATCTTTCCTTATCAGCACCTTCCAGCACATTTATCTTTCTTTTCATTCCCCAAGTTTGTCACAGCAGGTCAGCCATTAGCAAGTCCACACACTTTGGTGCTTCGGTGCTCCCCAACAGCCCCCCTCTTGGATTTGGAGAATGACAATGGTTCCTGACACTTGACAGTGCGGCGCTTCGCTTTGTGTCAGCCGTCGGGCTGTCTGTAGTGGAGGATCCTGCCAGGGCTAATCTGATTGTGCCCTGCACTTGCCAGATGTTAGCTAGTAACACATGCAAGTCACTCCTTGCTGTCTCTTTAGTGGCTCCCCACCAGATGAGGCTGTGGGCTGGTGAGTGGCCTCAGCTCAGCCTGTCGAGGTTGCTGTGGTGAGTGGCCACGTGTCCCCCTCTCCCACCTCCATGGGGGGAACGGAAAGCAGAGAGGCATTTGAAGCTCAGGTGCTGGTTTTGCAGCAATGCTGGGCTGAGAGCACGCACGCCAGCAGTCAGCGTGGTCGGGCTGCCGTCTCCCCAGCCCTTGCTGAGAGCTAGGTTTTACGCCTGCATGATTTTACCCAAATCGCCTTCATCTTCTTCTTAACCTAAATGCGAGGTCAGCACTCTTGGGGGAAGAAAGAAACCATTGTCTTTCACACATCTTTCTCTGACTGTAAAATGCAAACCTGAATCCTGGATGCTGAATTAGCATTTGCAAAGGATTAGAGTTGTTACAGTCCTGTCGCCTATGTCCTGGCTAGAGGCCAAGGCAGTGGATGGGGAATTGTTCTGGCCCTTGAAGTCTCCTCTCCTCTGTTTTCTTTCCCAGATTCACCATATCAATGCCAACTACTTCCTGGACATTACTTCCATGAAGCCTGAAGATGTTGAAAGTAGCATCTTTAGTTTCTCCACCAATTTCGAAGACCCTTCAACTGCAACTTACCTCCAGTTCCTGAAGGAGGGACTGCAAAGAGCAAAACCATACCTGCAGACCTAAAAACAAAGGCACTTGAATGCCCCACAGAAATGGCCAAAGACTTCAGAGATCTATTTTGGTTACAGCAGTTCTTCCTCATCTTCATGCCAGACACTGATGTTAAGATGCAGACAGTCCCAGGTCTGGGGCTTTGCTCTGGATGTTGGTTTAAGGCTAAGTTTCAAGTGATACCAGTTTACATAACCTGCCCTTCTGAATTCAGGCAAATTTTTACAGGAGTGTAAATACTTGAATCTATAAACATTCTCGGTGCATACGCCTTGGTTTGCCACCCACCCTCATGTTTTTCCAGCTCCTGTTCAGACTCTGGTGAAACTCGGGTAACAGCTGTACCAAGTGTCACCCGGACACCCCTAATCTCAAGGACCAGACTGTCTGTTGAATCGCAGAGAACAGCATTGCCATTAAGACCAACCACTCGTGGCGAGCACCTGTGCCTTGTGGGCGAAGGTGCAGAATCCAGCGCAGGTGGGAAGCTCCTTCCTGGTAGCCAGTGCCCTCCACACCTCATCTCCAGCAGCAGCTCCGCACTGTATGCTGCCCGGTGGCTTGGACGCCAGCTCTTCACAACGGCATTTATTGACAGCAATGGCAGCCAAGGCATAATGGGACTGTAGGTGATAATGTGTAGGTGTGAACGTGGGAGGTTTGAACTGGAGGCTTGGGCTCTGGAGTAGCCTCCTCCCAGCACCCTGTGTGACGTGGTGGGGGAGCCGTCTCACTTATTCAGGTTCTTTGCATCTGAGGGAGGTGCCGAGGTTGACACAGTGAAATTAAGAATGGAGACCAGGGCGTTAGAGGTATGGTGCTGCTCAGAGATGTCAGGCGTGGATTAATTTGGGGGGGATTAGGGGCCAGAGCCCCTGTTGGCTCCACCAGTGCAGTACATGCACTCGGGGCTACAGGACAATGCCCCCACCCCACTGAGCCTGAGGCCACTCCCACCCCAACAGCTTTGAGAGCTTTGTTCTCCCAGTGTGTCCTCGGAATTGCTGCAATGCTCCCTCCTTGCTTGCTTTGAGCTTCCAAGTCACACTGAGTGATGAACCATGATGAAGTTCCCTTTGGGAACGGGAGGTTCAGCGTTGCCCTGAGAGCATTAACTGGTTGAGAACTGAGCAGTTTCAAAAGCCAGCAGTACGAAAGAAATTTTCAGGAGATTTTTCGAAAGAAATTGTTTCGATAGAAAGCCATTGTCCCTTACCTGTAACCACCGTGAGCAGCTGCTCCTACTCTGTACCAATGCCTGGCTACAGAGTGAGACTAATTTGGAGAAGGAAAGGTTAAATGAAACTGGTTTTAAAGCATATTCCTGTAGATAGTGAGGAGACAAAGCATCTTCAATAGATGGCTGCAAACAGCCATGGCTGTTGATGCTTTTTCTGCTCTCTGAAGCACAATTATGTTGGACCAAATCAAATGGGGGGAAAAGGCTTTTTTTTTTTTTTTTTTTTGGAAGGGATATTTTTCCAGGACCTGGGAAGACCCCGGGCATTGTGATAACCCTGTCCCCACCCTGCCCCAGCCCTCCTGTCTGTATCCATGGCTGGAGAGTGAGCATAGATGGACCTCGGGGCTGAACCAGTGTAGCTTCACTAATTGCTCTAGTGAGATTAATTACCCTTGGGATGTTTCTCAGTATCAGCTTTATAACTATGCATTAGCTCTGCACTTTTCTCGCACTCCAAGGGGCCTGCAGTGAAGACAGGCTTGGATCTGGCAGCTCTTTCAGCTGCGGAAAGTGCCAAAACCTCCAGGCAATGTTTGAGACTCTGTCGCGCCGGCGGTCTCATCCCTTCGGAGGACTTTGGTCTCATCCCTTCAAGGGGCTGTGGCCTGAGCGGAGAGCAGCAGAGGAGACCGAGTGCCTGCCGCCCCCCGGCTCCTTGGGAGGCGCAGCTGCAGTGTAGATCTGCCCTTCTGGCTTTTACAAAGCTCCACATGAGGTATTTTTGCTGCACCTTTCCTGAGCCCCTCAGTCAGGGGTTTCGGACTTTGAAGCGGTGTCTGTCAGTTGTGCTCGGGTGGAGAGTTCATTCCATTTGTTTCCTTCCCACCAGTTTTGCAGCAGAAGGGGCCAGAGAGGGCAGTGGCTGGGCAGGCAGGGAGTGCTTTTGTCTTTCTAGGATCT